GGTTAACACCCAAAGGGGAACAACCCACAGCCAATGGCTGGTGGATGTAGGAGGACCACAGACTGATCCCCTTGCTTCAAGGAGGACAACCCAATGAGGCAATTTATGTCTCAGAGCCTCCCTGGACCAGGTCGATGCTGGAATTAGCAGAAACTGCATCCTTTTTCAGTCTTTCCGTTTCCTTCCCTGTCTCACTCATTCCTTTTAGGTTTTTCCGGAAGAGAACTCCCTCAATGAATGACACGCACTTGAATCCCAGTCTTAGGGTCTCCTTATAGGAAACCCAACCTACATCATCAGCTGTATAGTTATATGGCTGTGTAACAGGTCACCCCAAAATTTAGCAGATTAAAACAACAATAGGCATTTATTACGTGACACAGTTTTTGTGAGTCAGGAATGTGAGAACAACTTAGAATCTCTCATGAGGTTGCGTTCAAGACACTGGCCGGGGCTGCTGTCACCTGAAGGTGTGACTGGGGCTGGAGGATCTGTTTCCAACATCGCTCATTCATCACTGGCAAGTCAGTGCCAGCTGTTGGTCAGAGGTTGCAGTACCTCACCCCCTGGACCTCTCCATTGGGCTGCTTGTGTGTCCTCACGGAGTGGTAGTTGGCTTCCTCCAGAAGGAAGTTGCCATGTTTTCTATGACCTCGCCTCGTGTATGCTGTCATTTCTGCAATATCCTCTTGATTACACAGGTCAACTTTATCTGTGATCAGAAGGAACAACACAAAGGCGTGAATACCAACCAAGAAGTAAGCTCTTTGGGAGCCATCTTGGAGTCTGGCTACTGTACTACCCAAGGTGGACTCTGTTTGAACTGTGATCATCCCCATGATCTCGTGTTGTTTGCCCCTTCTCTGGCTTCCTATGTATTTTCCAACAGTAAGCTTTGGTTTTTTTCTTCCAAAATGGACATCTTAAATCTTAGTCAGGATGACTCTGAAACTTTGGTCTTAACCACCACACATAACGGATTTCTCCATCTTTACTAAAAGAAGCAACAGCATGAACGAGACATTGCGTTTTGATGGCTCTGCAACTATGTCATTACTCTACAGTGATCTTATTGTGGCTTGTATGTGGGTTGGGAATGATGTTACCCACGTTAAAGGCGAAAACATTCTCCCCTCAAGCTGCTATGTTCAGGAACATTCCATGTAAGCAATATTAAATGACTGGGGGATAAGTCATGCAGGACTGAGAAGTAGGAAACGTGGGCCAGGAGCTGTATTTTTGTCTTACATACATTTCCAATGTACAGATTTAGAGGAATGCCTTTAACTTATTGTGAAATAGATGTAACTCATTTTCATATTGCTTTATCATTTTATTGTTTCGGGAATCTAGGGAAAATGTAAGAAAATCATCTTAGAAATCTGGTGTGGGGGTGGTAATAGAGTCTCTAGCATTGTTGTTTGGCATGAATTATCAATTTCCAGCATATACAGTATATGTGTGTGGTTTGGTTCATACTTGTGGTTATCAATCTTTCATTTCCTCCCCCTCCTTCCCTCCTTAAGGTCAGTATCTCACAGCCCCCCTTGTCTGATTTGATAGGAAGAGTCATTGAGGAGAAGTAGAACCCAGGATTTGGTGTTAGGCATACCTATGTTTAAATCTCTTCTCCTGTTACCTATTTGCTGTGTGATCTTGAACAAATCAATCAACCTCTCTAAGCCTCTGTTTTCTCATCTGTGAAAAATTAACACCTACTTCCCAAAGCAGTTTTGAGGATTCCATGAGATTCTGCCCGTCAGCACTGCTCAGCACAGTGCCCCGTCATGGACATCACTCGCTAAGTGGAAACTGCTACATTTATTATCCATCCTCCATAATAGCTTCCCCAATCACTTCCTGTGGACCTGATAACAATTGCTGTGCATCACGGTAGAGCAGGGTCCCCCCAAGGCCCTGGGGCATTTTAACTTTGCCCCTAACTTGGGTCCTCTGTGCCTCAGGGACAGTAATATGCTAGCTCCTAGTGGCTCCTACTTGCTGGCAAGAGCTGATTATACTCCATTCACTCCAACTGTGTTCAGAGATGTCATGTTGATAGCTTGAAGTCAGCCATGCTGAGGGTATTTACACCATGGCAAGTGGCCATAGTGGGAGTATCTACAAGCAGAGCTCCTCCCATCTAGAGCCAGTTATTAAAGATTTACCAGCACATCTCTTCCCAGGGCTGTTTCTTCAAAAGAACAATCTGAATTACTGGTCTGCCTAGTCCTCCCCCACCCCCAAATGCCTCTTGATCTCTTCCCTTTCATTCTCTCTCCTGGACCACTGCAGTAGCTTATTATATTTTCCCAGGCTGCCACTCTCTTCCTCTCCATTTCTTTCCTTCACTATGGTGTCAGAGGAGTATTCCAAAAGCACTGATTTCATCACCCCCAGAGATTCCTGCTTATAATCCTTCCATAGCATCTGTTCTGTGGCGATGGTATGCCCTTGATTTCTCAGAAGTGGGATTTTAAGTACCCTGCTCCACTTTTTCCACTTGATAGATCCAGTGTCCAAATTGTGTGGGAATCTATTTGGAAAGAGCATGGCCTCTAATACAAGGAAGACAGTTTGAATCCAAGCTTGGCACCTTCTAGCTAGGTGACCTTGGGAAATTTACTTCCCACAGAGTTGCTGTGGGATTACAAGAGTTAATGCACGTGCAGTTCTAAGAACGGTGACCGGCACACAGTAAGTGCTCAATAAATGTCAGGTCTTGTTATTGTTGTTCTTCTCACCAATGTGCAGGCTCCTCTGGAAACTGCCCAAGTTCTTCCCTGTTCCATGAAAATGTCATGCTCAACAAGACCTGATGCTATTTCCCAAATTGGGGATGCCTTTTCTTTTCCCCTTTGCTCTGCAAATTCAACCCACCATTTAAAATCAGAGTCTAGCCTTATCTCACCCAAAAAGTCCTCCCTAACTTTCTGAGGCCTTCTTTACATCTCCCTACCTAAGGAAGCAATTGAAACTCTGAGCATTGTCAAATCATAGGGCCACGTTCATGGTGGGTCAGTGCTGTATGGGCAGGGGCATATGCAGCCCCTGCCTTCCTGAAGATTATGGATTTATGGTTGGAATATGGCTAAGTAAGTCCATCACAATAGAGTTCCAAAAGTGCTGTGATGGGGAAGAACAGGGTGGGGAGGCACAAAGGAGGGACATCTTGTCCATACTTGGGGATTTTAGGAAAGGTGTCCCTGAGGAAGTGATGTATAAATTGAGAGAACTGAAGGGTGTGGACGTTGTCCAGATGGAAGTGGGAAGAGATGTGGTAGGAAGTGGATTGTTCCAGAGAGAGAAAAGAACATCTAGAGAGGCCCATTGCTTGGAGGAATCATGGTGATATAGAGGAGCTGAAGAGAGTTCATTGTGGCTGGAAGGGTGAGTCCTGAGGCTGAGAAGATGAAGGAAAATATACTGAGCCTGGTCGTTGGAGCCTTGGCTACATCTTAAGAAGCTGAGATGTTGTCTTGAGGACCACAGGTGCTAAGCAGAAGAATGACTCGATTGGATTTCCATACTGATGGATGGCTAGTTTGCTCAGTTTATTTCTGTTACCCATAGTTACCTCCTTAAATAAAACATCACTTCTCTGAGTCTCGATCTCTTCCTCTCTGAACTAGGGTAATGAGTTCACAATTTTGCTGAGAATACCATAAGAGATAATGTGTGGGAAAGCATATCGTAAACCCTTCAAGCTGTCTACACATGAGAGGGATAATCATTAATTTTGGGTGGAGGGTGTGGCCTCCTGCATCCTGGTGTACTGGGAACGGTTGAGTTCACATCCTAGCATTCCCACTACTTGGGAAAGTTGCTTAACTTTTAGATGCAGACATCATTACTTCCACTTCACAGGTGAGGATAACACCGAACGCAGAAGGCCTTAATGAAGAAATGTTTATAGTGTGCGATTTGAGGACACAGAATAGTGGTTAATGAACATTAACCTCTACACACATATGCACACACACGTATGCTCCAACTTACTTTCTTTATGTAAGGGCAAAACATATATCCACATCTTGAAAGACAAAACAAGGAATGCCTAGCATAGGACTGGGCAAATAGTAGTAAATAAACTTATGTCATAATATTAAAATAGATGGTAGAATATTGATGGTCTCTCCTGCTGTGTTTGGCATTAGACCAACTAAGTCAACCCCCTATCCTCAATTTCTCTCACCTCCAGCACACACACACACATACACACACACACTCACACTCACACTCACTCACTCTCTCTCTCTGATTTCTTGATCCATTGGTCTTTGGAGTGATGGTTCTGATTCCTTAATATATGTAAGTTTCAGATTCCTTAATATACATAACTGTTCTGCTGAAAGCAAGCAGGCGCTCATGATGGCCTTCATCCCTGGCTCATTGATAATTAACACCACCAGATCTATGGGATAATTTCAGGCAGCAATAAGATTCAAGGGGGTTTTAAAGGAGGAGTTCTCAAGTTTGCAAAATGTTATCCAAGTTTTCCTGGGACTCAGGGAATTGTTGATAATTTTAGAGCTTCCTTCTTTATTGCTAGGGGTTTTCCACTGAGTTACACATACAATTTGGCACACGTATCGTAAGATATATGGCTTTCATTTTCTGGAACCAGATAAGCCTGAAGCACAAGAGATTAATTAAAAACAATAGGCTGGAGTGATTCCTTTTCCCACATCTAGTTCCAGAAGGAGCTTAGCATATCAGTCTGTGGTTTGTGTTCATTAACATAACTTGAAAACATGATTACCCTCTCCTTATATCTTTATAGAGATACTATAAAGAGGATGGAGTCGTGGATCTGCAGAGTCATGGATTTCTTATGTACCTGAGGATGTCAAGGGTCACTGGAAATAATAATCAGCTAGCTGAATCAATTTATGAGCTTCCAGTTTTCTTTCAAGTATGATATTTTCTTAACTATGGTTTTCCAGGGGATTGGCCTTTATGTTGGAAATCCAGCATTATTTAAAAGTTGGTTAATCTAAAGAGTACATTCTAAATTTTTATCAATTACTTAGCCCTGTCTCTGCAAAGCCTTCAATGTATTATACAGAGGCTGGCTACGTCCTATCTATAGTTCGTAGAGAGGCAGTGTTGATGCCATGATGGCCTGTGAGTTTGAGTGAAAATTTGGAACTGAAATCATTGAGGCAGAATTGTGGAGGGGAGGTGCTTACTCAGATTGCAGGCTGGGGTGTCCTTTTGTCTCTCTTCTGCTGTGATCCCCCAACCCCATGATGGGGAGATGGCATAAGAAGCTAGGCCTCCCCACCCTACCTCCCGTCGTCCCTCTTCCTCTCTCCCTTGGACGTCGATTGAATATGTGCTCTATCTGAGGAGCAAAGCTTAGTGCTCACTCTCTAGCTGGAGAGAGAAACTTATACCCAAGTGCTTTTATTACAGCTATGTGTAATTATTGCGATTAGATTGTGATCTTCTCAGAGTTCAGGACTGTAGAAAGGGAGGGTGACTTTGTGCTGAAGGGACAATGAAAGCCCCTAATGGGAGGATTGGGATTTAAGAAGGGCCTTGGAAAATGGAAGGACACAAGGAATATGAAGGTATTTCACCACAGAAGAAAGATAACTGGTTGGAGAACGTGGATGAAAGTTCAACTTCAGGGGCAAACAGAAGGTAAGTAAAATGTTATGTTTTACATATCAATTGGCAAGGAGTTTTTGTTTCTTCAGTGAAATTCCCCAAGGCTGGCAAGAATAAAATAAAATGACCACATTCAGACATTACAGGGAGTCTGATATGTCAGCTATTCCGTTTTCAGAAACCTATCTGAAAGGTTAGAATAAAAGAAGATGCTCATATTTATTCATTGTTACTCATTAGCAAAAAAAAGGAAAAATGATTTAAATTATCCACAGCCAGGGGATGATAAAGTGACTGTTAATGGGTGAAAATTGTGTAACTCTCCTAAGTAAAGAGTTCATAATAACATAATGAGGTTGTTAGGAAATACTACATGGAAAATTTAGGAGAAAGGTTTGTATACCCATGTAATCAAAATTATTTAAGAGGCACATAATAAAGCCTAGAGGAAATACACCAACATGACTCCAAGGGTTATCTTCAATATTTAATAATGAAAAGAAAAAGAATGGCTAGCATTTAAATTGGATGGTGATTCAGGTGGGAGGAAGCTGTGTGAAAGTCAAGGAGCTCTGACCCTGGGCCTCCCAGGAGCCACAGATCGTATTTAGAATTATTTTGGATGATTCAGATTTCTACTACCAATGGCTGTTTCAAGATTTTTGTAGTAAAAGTGACAAAAGCTTCCACTCTGCCCAGCAAACCCACAGGCCTTGAGAAATGGCAGTTTTTGTTTGCATTCAGCCAGACCTGCCCTATGCTGCCCTTCCTCAGCACTTAGCAGGGACTGGAACAGAGACAGCCACGCTGTGGAGAAAAACACAGCTCACAGGATGAATCTACCTTCTCAGAGCTGCAGACCAAAAACCCAAGGATAGATCTGGAAAAAAAAAATTACTCTTGATTTAAAATAAAAGGAAACCAAAGCCACCACCACATTTTTGTCCTCCCTTAGCTCTTTCTTTCCTTCTTAATTGGGCTGGAAAAGGAGGCGGCCTGGTTGCAGGATTGGCCCTGAGATTTGCTCACTGTGTGACCTTGGTCAAGGGTCTCCTCCCACTGGGCCTCGGTTTTCCCATCTATAAAATGTGTTGGAGTCAACTTTGAACAGCTGGAGATGGAACTCAAGCCAGCTGAACTTAGGAGCGAAACTTCTTAAGGATAAACAAGAGACCACAAAAATCCATGTATGTTTGTGTTTATTCTAATCTAACATAACAACCTCCAAGGAAAATTCGCACAGCAGTAGGACGCAATATAATCAAATTTTGGCATGGGATGGACATATGTGTCTATGCCCATTCAAGAAACACAGGATATTTGATTGATCTCCAAGGGCCCGTCTGGTCTTAGCACCCTTGTGTCTCTGGGGTTTGAATTTACACTTATACCCCTCTGAGCTCTGTGCTTCTGAGATGGGCACACAAATTCAGTATTTTCTTCAGCATCCATTGTGGCAGGCAGCGAAACAGGCTAAGCTTTGGTCTTTCTCCTCTAGGCCAGGATCTTGGTAAGGTCTCCTGTGCATTTGAGACAAAGCACATGGTGTGTCTTCAACTCTGAAGAATCTAGGGAGGAAGTGTGCTGTCTGCTAATATGTGTAAAGTCCCATCCTATTTCCATCATCCTCAAGCCTAGGGCCCAGTTAAGATTTTTACTTCTAAGAAAGACGTGAACACCAATCGTAAGTGTAATAATTATAATAGTTCATATTAGGGATGCAAATGCTACTACTAATATTAATAATATGAACTGAATCAGTTAAGGTCTTTTAGAAGCAAGTTACTGAAACTTCTCTGGGTAATCAGCAGAGAGGGAATTACTAGAAGCATGTGGGCTAGCTGTAGGACTGCAGGAAGAACTGGACAGTCAGACTTCAGCAAGGACAGGAACAAGGGCTTTTTATGGGTCTAGATAGCAGGAGGTAATAAACAGCTTCTTTGGGGTAACACCACTAACATGAACGATCTTCATCCATTCAATTCAATTTAAATTGTCAAGAGAGAGAGTTGATAGCGTTGGCTGAGCTTTCAGACTCATTGCCCAGGAGAGGAAACAAAAATTTCTACCTTTTTTGACAAGTTGTGTGACCACCTACAAGAGAATCTATGCTAATACTTTATATACATTATTCCTAATCCTCAGCACAAACTTTCAAAGAAGTGTTCATATGTCTTTTCTACAGATCAAGCCTCTGAGGTTCAGAGAGGTTAAGTAATTTGCACAGGGTCACACAGTAGAGTTGCTGAGACTTAAACCTGGGTCTTTCTGATTCCAGTCAACAATCCCGGGCTGCTCTCCATGGTTCTCACTCATCAGAAAATGATCCCCTCATGGTCCAAACTCTACTTGGTTAATTCACAATTTGTCTTCTAAATAATCTGTTTCTCTTTCTCTTCTATTTTGCTTGATGTTCTGAATAAAAGGAAAAAATTCAGTGTGACAGCAAATCTCTCTGCATGCCTATCAGTCTCTTTACTCTGCTGCAGCCCAGCATTTATTCCCTTTCTTTCTAGAAACAGCTTGGCATTGTATTATATATTCAGTTATGTGGATAGTGTCTGATTCCTTACCTGAATCTATGTCCTACAAGAGCAGGGTTTTGTAACCTCAATTTCTAAGAAAGGCACCCGAGAGAGGCACTTGATACATATGTATTTTTCTTCTTCTTCTTCTTCTCCCCAAAGCCCCCAGTACATAGTTGTATATTCTAGTTGTAGGTCCTTCTAGTTGTGCTATGTGGGACGCCGCCTCAGCATGGCCTGATGAACGGTGCCATGTCTGCACCCAGGATCCAAACCGGTGAAACCCGGGGCCACCAAAGTGGATTGCACGAACTTAACCACTTAGCCACGGGCCGGCCCCTTGATACACTGTTTTAAAGGAATGAATGCAGCTAGTAGAAGCAGACCAGGTAACAAAGTTAACTCCTCTCTTTTCCTGGTAACTAATTCGAAATCTACTCCCCAATCCAGCTCTTCTGCCTACTTCCCTATTTCAAGTAATTTCTCCTCCATTCTCCCAGTCAATCAAGTTTAAATCTCCCAGTTGTTTCTGTGAGTCTGTGTCTGGCCCCTTCAGCCAAATGCCGGTGCCGGCAACACACCCCTCAGGATATCGATCGCAGAGAGTGGGGCTACAGGACACACTTATCACTCAGTCTCATGTCTTACTCTCTTTCCTTCATCTTACAACAGAGTGTGATCATCCTGGCCATAGACCTCACTCATCAGTTTTTGAATTCTGTATTCACTTCGCTCTTTAGACTTGAAACTCAGCACCACCATCCCAGCTTGAGGAGCTCTTTCAGTTCATCTGGACAGCTGTTCTGGCATCCCACCCTGGTCATATTACCCAAAGCATGAAGGCGAGCACCCCTTCTTGCTCAGCAGCCCTCCAGGACCCCAAAGCCTGAGTACAGCTCCATAGCACAAGAAGCCCCGCTCACCTCTGGTCCCTCTGAATGGAAGTAAGAAATGTTATCTCCCTCATTTCTCACGTCCACGCAAGTCCCGATTCCTGCCATCTTTATTCTGCCAAATCTCTCACCATCTTTCCATTCCCAGGGCAACTAGCTATATAACCCAGGTCTCCATATTCTGCCATCCTTCTTCCTCGTCTCCCTGCATCCAGTCTCAGATTCTCAGTCAGGGAGCTTGTAATGTACCAGGCATGTGGGGGGACAGGAAGGTTTTTGAGCAGGAAGGCCCCTGTTAATTGCAGGACAGCACCTAGCAGGACATTTGGGGGGCTCTCCTCTTCACTCTTTTCTCTGGCTGCCTCTCCCCCTCCCCCCCACAGTCCAGCCACGCTGGGCCACACCGTTCCTCTTCTCCTTTGCTCGGATATTTTTGTTTCAAAGGGAAAATATGAATGAGGAACTTCTCATACTGCCATTCTCCACCCTCTGAAATCTCACACGTATTTCAGGACCCAGCTCACTGCCACTTTTTCCATCGCTCCTTGCCTCATCTCTGTGGTCAAAATCAGTCTCCCGCCCTCTTTGGGCTCTGATTACATTTTCTGCTTTCCTTAGAAGACAAATAGCATCTGCTTTGTATCATGACTGGGGTCTGTCCGCCACACTAGACCAGTGACTCTCAAGGGGGATCTTCAGTCCCTTGACAAAGAGTCATAGGGGTAGGGGGTTGAGGGAGGGTTCCTGTTAAAATCCATATTCCTCAGCCCAGTTCCAGGTGTGGACGCCTCTTCCTCATGCTACCCAGTGTTGATTCCTATTCTTTCCAGAAACAGCATCCTAATTTCTCTGTAGGGAATTTCTTCCCCTAATTTACCTTCAGTCTCTATAGGATAATTATGGAAGGTGCTTTGCCCTCTCTCGTTGCGGGACAAACAGGTGACACATTCCATTCTCTTCCTGGCACTCCGAATCTGGGGCAACAAAAGGACAGAAGATTTGTCTATTAGTTCCTCCAACCTAAAACACTCGATGCCTTTCTGGCTAAATTAAATTAAAAGTATTGGCAGAACCTGTGATGTCTCGTCTCACGTGAACCTACGGGATCTCATCTAATAGAAGGAAAGCTGAACATCCGGGTCTCACAACGGACAGGTACCAGGGTCACGTTTTGTTGCTTCCAACCTAAGAAATAAAAGACAGGACTACTGAGTCCGAATATTCAGGATGAGGACCAAGAGGTATGAATTTTTATCGGAATTTCCCCAATTTTTTTTAAACTAAGGTTTTTGTTTTGGAATAATTTTAGATTTACAGGAGAGTTGTGAAGATTCCTTATACTCCACAGCGTTTCTCCGGTTAACAGTTTACTTCTCCATTAGTTCCTGCAACTTAAAACACCCTCTGGGGTACATTGGTCAAAACGAAGAAACTGACATTGGTCCGTTACTGTTAACTAAATTCCAGACGTGAATTTCACCAGTTTTTCCATGAATGTCCTCCTTCTGTTCCAGGATCCAATCCAGGGTACCATATTGCATTTAGTCATCACGTCTCCTTAATCTCCTTTGGTCTCTGACAGTCTCTCAGTCCTTGTACTGGCTGGATATCTTATCGAATGTCCCTTATCTCTCCCACTATTTTTGACACCCACATCATACTCTAAGCATCTTGAGGACAGGGCTCACGTCCACACCGTCACTATTACGTACTGCACGTTCAGTGTGTGCCTAGCATAGAGGAGGAGCTCAATGAATACGTGCTGACATAATAAACGCGGGCTGACGTAAGGAACGCTGTTGCCTATCTCGCAGCCCTGCGCTACCCTGCACCGGGACTAGCCTTGCTCATCCCTGCCCTCCACACCACGCCTGACCATGGCACATTTGGTGACAGGACTCAGAGAAGCTCCCAGCATCCAATGGAACTGAATGCGTTTGACTCGGGTTGGGTTTCCAGACAGAAATAATCACGTAATTACTAAGGAAAATTCTAATTGCGATCATCTGACCACGTTTTGACATCTCTCTTTCAGTTTATTCATGAATGTGTCACTCACAGCCCAATCAGAGGAAAAGAAAAGAAGGAAAAAGGGCCTGCTGGCGCTCTCTCATGGTGGGGGCGGGGGGGGGGGGGGGTGGGTGGGGGCAGGCTCTTGCTTTAGGCATGTTTATAAATTTAAAAATATTTCAGATGCTTTTGCGATGCTGCTTATTCTGGTTCAGCGGTCAGGGGGAATGCGTTAGGGGGGAAGGTGCTTCATCTAATTGAGCTGCTGCTGGATTACGGGTGCTCTCCGCTCTGCCAAAGGGGAAAGCTGCCGTGCTTGGAGCTGCTCTTTCATAGAGTTAAGCTGAACAGACTCCATTCAAACGCAGACTGAAAACAGGAACAGTCAAAAGCATTTATCAAGTATAGCTTAGCGGCTCTTCATACCATACTAAGTGCATCCCATAGGTAGAAACGTCTAATGCCGATACCGTTCTAAAAAGCAGAGAATTTTCCTTCTACTTTACTAGCAAATAGTAAATGATGAAGGAATAAAGGTTTAGGAGGCCGGGGAGAATAGTCAAGACCAGGAGGCTCTGAGCGGCGAAGCTGGAGGTGGGCCTCCAAGCTCTAGGGTGCTCAAGCCAACACTTTTGTCATTAGTCTTCAGCCTGCCTTCTTCTCCAGGTATATATGCACACGTGCATTTGTCTATCATTCATTTCTTATTGTTACTATTCAATAAATAAAATCAATATCCTTGCTATTATTTTTGCAATTAAATGCACTTCTTATGCAGCATTATATAGTGCAGCATTCTTCAACATTTGGTTCATGAGACCACGGCATCCAAACCCACGGGGAGCTTGTCAAAAATGCCCATTCCTGAACGCCAACCCAGATCTTCTGAAGCAGAACGCTGGGCGTGGGACTGTAGCTTTAAAAACAAGCCCTGAGGTTGATGTGGTCTCAGGAAAGTTTGAGACCTCCAGCGTGGGGCTGTGCAGGCCTGGGAGTCGGGGCTGGGGAGTTTCAGTTCTGTGACTTTCTGGCTGATGAACCTTGGGCAGGTCAGAGTGTCAGCTGTAATGGGTAGTTTCTCACTTCGTGTGGTTGCTGTTAGGATTATAAGAGAAGATGTGGAGATGAGCATGTTGTCCTTGAGAAAGAAACCATCCACAGTTCTAAATATATGGGAGAGAGATGTCCACGCCAGAGGACCATGATACTGTAATGTGTTTCTCATCTGATGGCAGAAAGGCTTTGAGGTGGCTTTACACAACCACATGGAGTACAAGGAGACAGAAAGCAACCCTAGAGGAGCTTGTGCTAAAAGGAAAGGATTGTTGTGAAAACAGAAAAGCCAGGAGGAAGGGCAATATTTAAGAGCACAGCCTCTAGACTGAGGTTTCTCAGCCTCAGCCCTGTTAATATTTTGGACTGGATAATTCTTTGTTGTTGGGGAGCTGTCTTGAGCGTGTTAGAATGTTTAGCAGCATCCTTGGCCTCTACCCATGAGATGCCAGCAGCATCCGCCCCCTGGTGTGACAATCAAAACTGTCTCCAGACGTTGCCAAATGTCCCCTGGGGGACAGAATTGGCCCTGATTGAGAACCGCTCCTCTAGTGGGAGATGGAACTGGTTCAGATCCTGACTCTACTACCTACCATCTGGGTGAGCTTGGGCAATGTATTCAATCTCCCGAAGCCCCAGATTTCTTAGCTATAAAGTGGAGGGGCAGGGATAATACCCTAAATCCTTACTCCACTGGTTGTCATAAGGATTACATGAGAGAACGTACATCAAGACTGTAGCAAAATTCTTGGCTCCATGCTGTGTGTGTGTGTGTGTGTGTGGTTTAATCTTGGAATTTTTCCAGACTTTAAAAATTTGAAGTACGTACTTCTCCTTTGCTTCCTTTTTGCAGAAAGAGGTTTTCAAAAATCTGACAATTCTTAACTTCAGGTTCAAAACCATGAACCGAGGACGTTATTACTGGGACAGGGATGCTGAAATTGTCTGAGCAGAATCAGAGATGTTATTCCACCCTAGAATCAGGTGACTGTCGACACCTCCTGTTCTATAGAGTACTGCCATTTTGGACCCAGCACACACCAAAACTTTTCCCGGGCTGCAAGTGAAATCATTCATCTCTTCTCAGTGAGTGTGCTGGTTGGACCCACAGGAGGAGCTGAGACCAAGGAGGTGTTTGGTTTAGCTCTCCCATGGTCTGGCTGTTTGAACACTGAATCTGTAGATGGCTGATCTTTCAAGAGAACGAGAGGGTTTTAACATTTGGGACAAATTAACCAGTTTGACAAAAGCAAAACAGTTCCCCTTTTAAGATGAAGTGCTCCTTAAGTGCTGTACTGTTTCCAGCCCAGACCGGACATTTCTCCTCCCTTGTCTGGTGTGAAGGGGCATTGGAACCCAACGTGTGAGCAGATAACCAGACATGGTTCTCCTGTGGCCCCGGCTGCAGAGCTGAGAGATTAGGCCCCGATAACGATCTCAGTGGAGCCTGAACTCAGCCTGAACCCAGAGCTTTCCGCCTTCCCTGCCATTACCGTGGAAGACTTTGGTGGGTCCCCCTGCTTCCCCACCTCCAATCATTTGAATGCTTTCTCTTCTATTGTTTCTCGCTTCACAGGAACCATAATATACAGCTTGATACTTTCCTGGCATGGGCCCAGTTTTCATGAATACTAATCAATAACCCAAATCCCTTCTTCCAGACTCTCTCCTATGTCGCTGGGGGAATGTCATATCCTGCTGCAATTGGAGTGACCATCACAAGGAATCAGGTTGATGGACATCTGCTTCCCTCAACCTTTAGTAGCTTCCATAGTGGCAGGATCACCTCTGGCTCACCCACCCTTTGATTAAATACTTCCAGGGACATGAAGCTCATTACCTTACAAAATGATGTGTCCCCTTGGGGGACAGTGTCAGCAGCTATTCTCCACTGTGGCAGTCTGGCTATGTCCTTCCTAACACTTATCAGCATCTGCAACTATTTAATGAATTTATTTATTCATTCATTGACTGTCCTGGGTCCCTGACCCCCAATAGATGTAAGGCGGGCAGGGAACTACTCGATCTGGTGCACATGTGGATTCTCTGATGTTCTCATTGAATATTAGCTGAATCAACAGATGAAGAAGTGAATTAAATACTTCACCACTTGAGCCAGACAGATCTCCAGTGGGCAGAGTTTATGTCTATATTCATATTTTACCCCTAGCACTTAACCTGGGGGCTAAGACAGAGTAAGCAACGTGGTGTGGTGGGAAGAATAAAGCTTTGGGAGTCAGATAAGCCTATGTTAAAATCCCACCTTTTCCCCTTATAAAGGTCTAAGGCAGTTATCGTTTCTGAGCTGCGATTGCTTCAATTTGTTTGTAACGATAAGTTTAACTATCTATAAGGTATTACCCAACTCAAACGTTGTGAATATTTAAGAAGATTTTTCTAAAGTATTTAGCATTGCCTGGCACATAGTAGGTATTGGGCAAATATGATTTGACTTTCATTGAGAAGGCTGGGTGATTCTCACCAGCATGGTCAGGAGAGACCCAGGGCCCAAGGGGCAGGGGTGTGGTCCATCCATCTGTCTCCCCGAACTGGACTCTGTGTCTTTCCAGAGGTTAACAGACTGAAATGACCTGTTCATTCATTCTTGAAAGGCATTTTAATATATCAGGCATCTCTAGAAGCGTGTCCACAGATGTGGTAGCATCAGTATGGTGGGACCCCTGTTGCTTCGGCCAATTGCCCCACTTATTTCATAGCATAATTGATTTCAAATGTCCATTTATTTTCCTTTCTCTCCAACTTATGGCTGCCTGGATTTTTAAACTGTTTATTCCCCAAATTGTGCCTGGATCCTGGATGCTGTACAAATGGAACACACACACACACGTACACACACATGCACACACATTTCAGGCATTTGTCTGTCACTGCCCTACGTTAAGAACAAATCACAGTCAGTTCAAATCTCCTGATTTAATAAACACCAGATCCACCAAATGTCAGAGAGTCTAGTCTTTTGCAAAATCTTTAACTTGTGGCTCATACTTGAGACTAAGGAAAAAAGTGGTAAAGGACATGAAATAAAGAGGGAGGAGGAGTTGGGGAGCAGATGGCTTACTCACTAGGCCAAGAATGTGAGGACAAGTGGCTTGGGGCCGATCTCTACCATGCAGCTGGACCATGCACAGGCCTGCTGCTCTCTGTGGACCCTGCCAGGGGTCTTAAGCTCCTGTTAGGACGGCCTGGACTTCTGCGTTATGATGAGCGGTTGGCTGTTGAGCAACAGAGATTTTCTTTACTAAGATGTTTCCAGAGTGGAAGGCCTTCCAATTCAGAACAGGATGTCAACTTTCCAGGGCCCAAGGGAACCTCATCTGTGTCTTCATTTTGCAAAGTTACATGGCAATTTTGACCATGGCTTGTACTGTACCAAAACTGTGCTTCTTTTTATTGTTGTTGGTATTGTTCATGGAAAGACCTTTTAAAGTAGTGGCTTTAGGGGAAAGGGCATGGGACCAGGAGTTGATCATAGGCCCGGATCCTCCATAAACTTTTTATGGGTCCTAAAAGAAATTACTTCCTGCCTCTGGACCATTGTTTCTTCATCTATGGTCCAAGGAAGGCCTCAGATCAGATGCTTTAAAACTGTGGCCTATGCAGCATTGGGATGCTTCTAATATTAGGGTTCTTCACCTTCCAACCGCACTCCGACCAGAGCAACCTCACTGTGATAGGATGAATAATGGCCCCCCAAAGATGTCCGCATCCAGTCCCCGGGACCTGTGAATATGCTTCCTGACATGGCAAAAGCAACTTTGCAGATGTGATTAAGTTAAGGATCTTGAGGTGTGGAGATGATCCTGGATCACCCAAGTACATTCAGTCTAATCGCAAACATCCTTAGATCCAAAGAGAGGGAGTCTGGAGAGTCAGAGTGAGAGAAGGAGATGTGATGAAAGACGCAGAGTGAGAGAGAGATTTGAAGATGCTATGCTGCTGGCTTTGAGGATGGAGGAAGAGGCCATGAGACGAGGAATACAGGGGCCTTCAGAAGCTGGAAAAAGGGAAAGCAACATCGT